AAGGAAATTCACCAATTGTCTTCGGAAATGGAAAATCAGATGCATGTAAAAATGTTTTTGATGATGTAACATGAGCTGTTTTATAAACACCACTAACATTTTCATTTTCATCAAAATACCAAATACCTCCAATATTTGAACGACTTTCATATAAATGTGCATCAAGACCTTCAGCTAAGAGATATTTCAAAGAATAAAGACCAGATCAACCACCACCAATAACTACTACACTATGTTTTTCTCTTGAATATATAAAAATTTAATATATTATTTCGGTTTTCTTGTTTTTTTTTGTATTACCTATTATCTGTTGACGATGGTAAAGGTTGTTGAGAATCTGGCATTTATTTTTCTCTAAAATACACATACTATTCTGCAATAATGTTGTTTCAGAAAATAAAAATAAATTGATAAATGTTATTTTTCTTAATATTCTTTCCTTTTCATGTCACCGTTTCTACAGTCACGCACGTGCCTTCATCAATTATTTATGCATATGAAGAAAAAGCTCGTCTAAAAAAATGAATATCTTCGGTTTTTTTCTTTTCATTAAAGCAGAAGTTTTGGGCTTGTCCACGTAAACTGACACTTCACTGATCAAGTTTCGAAAACTTTTTTTTTTCGAGTTCAACAAATTTGAATAGACCTCTAGATGCAGTTTTTAACGCTGATTACGAATCTGCCATCCGTTTTGTAAAAGAATCAGATTTTCTCATCCAAAATCAAGTTTTAGTCTTTCCAAAAATCGCATTTTGAGTTTTCTAACCAATAAAGTTTTTTAGAAAATGCGTCGAGACATACCATTCGATGCAGAATTTCATCCTCTACAAAATGGGCTATTTGGTTTTCACTTTGATAACTGGGGATGCTTTATAGCCTTGTGTGTAGTTTCCCACTTTCTGCTCAGATTTTGAGCTCCCATTTCAATGGATCGATCTGATTTTTTTTTATAGAACACTTAGCTACACATAAGGATTCACCCTTCGAAAAATCAAATCATTTTGATCATGTTAAGTGTCCCAAAAATGGCTGACAAAAACTGTGTCATACCGTTACGAAAAACGTAACACCGTTACGTTTGTTTTTTGGCATTTTTTACCTGAGGAAGATTAGATAGGAGAAATTTTTTTTACCATTGTAAAGCTTGTAAAAAGCTCTACAAAATACATACTTTTGGAATTGTATTTCGACTAACACCTTCGCAGGAAATCAAGGATTAATGATGAACACTACACGATGAGGGTCCTTTCATGTAACACCGTTACGCGATCGAAAAACTTTTCTACAAACTCGAGAGTTCGATGAAAACAAATCATTTTATAATATTGGTAGAGCTTGACGAGCTGCGTCGAATTACGCTTGAACGAACTTTCTAGCTACCACAGTTCTCGAGATAAATAAAAAATAGTATGTTAAAAACGTAACACCGTTACGCTTGGACAAGCCGTTTTACGTTAATTCTATTGTCTTTTAGGTCTCAAAAAAGTGTAAATTTCTAAACAGAACATGTAATCATTTTTATGTGTGAAAAAAAAGAATTCTTTAAAAAAGTGCTTATAAAATCTTGAATTTCAATTTAAATTATTATATGAAATAAGCACATATTTAAAAAAAAGTAATGGGTATAGGAAAGTTTTTGAAACACAAAAAACAAGGTAGCACTTTAACGTTCATTTAGATTATACAGTGTCATTCATGATTCTTCTAAGCCACTTCTCTTTTTTCCTTAATTAAATCCAGATCATATGATTATTTTGTAATCTTTTAACTAATCAAAATAAGGAAATTTCGATTATTGGGAGGCTTTACATCCTTGACACCCTCTCGGTATGAACACGTCCTGCATTCTTATTATAATCAGATGAGTTGAATTCTTCTTTTTTCTTGAAAAATACACTTATCTATTTACATAGTTGGATTTTAAATTCTTTCTTGTTAAAGAAAAAAGAAAATAGTAAAGTACATTTTACTGTCATCAGAAATATATTTCTCGCGTGAAACGCTTCTATGTTGTCTAATAGAAATATATTTCAAATAAACTTAATAGAAAATATCGTAAGTTATCTTCTAAGAAAAAAAATTAATGTAAAACCGTTTTGCTCTAACGGCTAGTTCATGGTTATTCTGCGAAAAAGAGTAAGTTGTCATTTCTTTTAATGAGATTCATATAACCTTTGAATGTGTTAAAAATTTTGAAAAGGTAAAAGATTTTGTTTGATCAAACAATCATTGATCAAATTTGAAAAGAAGTCCTTATGGTATTGTTTACTCAACTATAAATTCTTGTTTTCATTGTTGACAATTTTCATAATTGATAATTTAACGTGATATAGTTTATATTTTTTGGTTTTTCTACCAGATTTATTTCGTACTATAATTTTTTTTCATTATGCCCTATTCAATTCGATTGATAATTTTCAATTAATATAATTTATTATTAGATATTATTACAGAAGATTATTAAGTATTTAAATTAAAACACTAAGATAAATATATAAATCATTGTTTAGTATTTATAACGTACAGATATGTAAGAAAAAAAATTGAAGATTTCATAGGTTATTTCTTTTCAGATTTTATTTTTTTCTGAGTCCTATGTCATTGAATTTAATGAATTATATAAAAACAAATGAATGAACTAGAAATAATGAAGTTAAGTCAGCTGTTGAATTGTACTTGAAATAATGAGCAGTCTAGAGAGTTTGTTAGTCTCTTGCCTACTCATGATTATAAACGATAACTTACAGTAAAGTTTTTTACATAAATATATTTTCAAAATTTTTATAAGATATTTTTTAAATGAACACCTTTTAGGTCGAATACATCAATACGTATAGTTATTTGTAAAACAATTGCCGGAAAATTTACAAGAAAAAATTTTTTCCTTGAAACTTGAATAAAGATGTATTTCTTGAAAATATTATGTTACATGGTATTACGTGAAATCGAATTTAAAAAATTTTGATGTGATATTTTCGTGTATTATGTGAAGTGTTTGTCTCTATTAATGATTATAACGCATGACTTCATCGCCGCATATCTTTTATTTTAATTAGTGAATCAAAGCCTTTGTTCGTTCTTTTTTATTAGTGCATTAAATTTCATATCGTCTCTTGGAATTACTTTAAATCTTAATTTATTTTTGAGTATAAGTGGGACTTCCTCAAAAACCTAACTTCGACAGGGTATATGAGATATTAATGAAAC